CAGCAGGATGGTTTCTGTCATTCTTGAGGTGACCTGCAGTTTCTTTGCCTGGCTGTCTCTGTATGCCTTCTTCTGCTACCGGAACAAGCACCGTTCCTACGAGTGGAGCTGTCGTTTGGTTACTCTGCTGCACGGGGTGATTGTCACCTGCCTGTCTGGTTACGTTGCTCTCCTTGATGGCCCCTGGCCTCTAACCCATGCAGGTATGTTGGGAGCCTTAGCTCATATACATATCCCTGTCATCCAGTGTGGATGATGACTTTGTCTCTATTTCTGCTGGAAGTGGAGTGAGGGTCTGATCTCTCTTGCTGTCTGTTGTCTTTGGTGTATGTTTTTGGGGAATGAGGGGGATTTTGCTTGACTCTCCTGCTTCTCTTCCAGCCCTTACTACTATTTACTCTTCATCTTCTTATTCACCTTTTGTTTTTATCCATGTATATGTTGAAAGTCTTTAGGTTGGCAGCTTGAGTTTATCACAGTATCTGAATGAGGTGTGGCAATGTGTTGGACTGGACTAAACGCTTTTCACATTTTTGAGGATGTAGCAACTCTTAGCATTTGTTTGTGGGTTTCTGTTTGCTGTTTCCTATCATTAAACCTCAAATAGTTCTGCTGATGGGGAAGCTTTCTAAAAGGGTGGAGAGAAAGGAAACAGAAGTGTGGAAGGATAGAATGACTTGCTTGGGTCTGCTGAGCAGAGCAAAGTCTGAAAACAAAACAGAACTGGACACCTGAACTTCCAGTCTGGTGCTTGGCCTGTAGGATACGTCTGAAAACAAAGGAGGAAAAAGGCATACTTGCAACCTGTAATAGAAGTCTTTTTTTTAAAAAAGACCCTAGGCTTATGTATGTCTTTCATTTCAGGTTCACCAAACACACCTCTTCAGATTCACGTGCTGTCCCTGACCTTGGGTTACTTTATCTTTGACCTGGGCTGGTGCCTGTATTTCCAGACAGAAGGGGACCTAATGCTGTTCCATCACACACTGAGTATCTGTGGCATGATCATGGTGCTGGGGCTCGGGAAGTCTGCTACAGGAGTCAATGCTGTTGTATTTGTTAGCGAGATCACCAATCCACTGCTACAGACCCGATGGTTTCTGCGGGAAATGGGGTGTTACCACAGCATCCTGGGAGAGGCGGTGGATTTTTTCTTTGTGTTCTTCTTCCTGGTGCTGCGAATTGGGGGAGGAGCCTTGATCATGTATGCAATGGTGACATCACCTGATCCCATCTGGCTTCTCAAAGCTGGAGGCCTGGCTATGTATGCCGTATCCTTGGGGTTCATGGTTGAAATCTGCCGCTTTGTTAGGAGGAAAATACTGAAAAAATGTAATTCCTGGAAAAGCATGAGGAGTAGGAATGCACCTGTGAAAACTAATGGGCACTTGGCAGCTCATTAACTGTGGCTGTGGAAGACCATCCCTTGGGAGAGGGTCCTGGCTACTGAAGCCCGTTCCTGTGAGAAGAGCTCCTAGAAGTGATGTGGAATGGACTTTATGGCACTGGGAATGGTCTGCTACCCCAGGAGGAGACGAAGCGGCTCTAGGAACTCGGGAAAGCTAACTGAAGAGGGTTTCAAGGGGAAAACTGAGGAACTTGGCAACTGACCTGTGTTGATTCCCTAACTTCTCCAGCGATGGTAGAGTCTCTGAGAGGGTGGTAATGCCAGAGCTATTCAGTCTGCAACAGAGAAGTGCACAGTCCCTGTGTTCTGTAATCATCTTCTTGGAGGCAGTATTTCACAGTGTAGAACCAGAAAATGTAATCTGAAAAATCCTATTCCACTGCAAGTGGGACCAGGTAGGGGTGTGACCTAGCAAAGCCTTACTCAGCCTCACTTGGACTTCGTTCTGCGGTTGGAAGACACACTTGACTAAGTACTTGGATGAAGGCCTCTGAACAAGACAAAGTGCTCGCAGGGGTACAGTAAGTTGTCCTTTGAGTGTGTGAAGTGATGGTACTCCAGGTGAGGCAGTGTTTTACCTCATTGTTTTTAGTGACACATTTCCTTTTTTGAATACTTGCATTCAAGTAGGTGCTGTTCTTAAAGCAGTGCTACTCCACTGGAATTACTTCTGGCACTGTGCTTGTGAACAGGAGTCAAGAACTAGACTTGTGCCAATGAACTCCGTAAGCAGGTGTTCATCTAGCCTTGGGCTGCTTTCAAAAATGCAGACATTTTGTGGGTGAGAAATGATAGAGAGGAGCCCTGCCTGGATGCTGTATTGGTTCTGGGGATGGCTTACTTACAGGTCACTTAAGCTTAATTCAAGGTTAACAAGAGTCAAATAAGTAATTATATTTTCAGGAGTGGTAGTAATGTTTAGGCAGATGGCAATGTGCCATCTGCTCCATACCAGCAGGTCTCAGAGTATGGACCAGTTCTCAGGGCACTTGTATTCCTAACCTCTCAGAGTTGTATTCTGACTTTTCCCCTGGGGTTTTAATGTGAATTTCCCTGCATTTGAGGCTGTACTTCAGATGCCATTTCTCCTATAAAAGCCTCACAGCTGATAAATGGCCCTGTGTTGCCCTCAGGCTTAGCAAGGCTGGCTGCCTTTCCCTCCTTCCTGCTTTCAAAGACCTTGTTTAGATGTCCTTCCTGAAGGATTACATATCTTGAAGCTCTAGAAATGCTGCTCCTAATAAAAGGAGGAACTAAAGGCCCTCTGAAACTGCCTGTGTCACTCTTGACCAAGTGTGGTGTCACACCTATGGCAGTGGGAATACAGCTGCTGTGGTGATTGGCCTTACGAGCTCCTCCAGGCCCCTTATCTCACCGACTTTGGCACTGTTCAGTGCTGATACTTGCTGTGGCTTGAGAGATTAGAAAGTGGGAAAACTGGAGCCTTGCGTTCCTGATACATTGCTGGCATGGCTCTGAGGGCCTGGATTGGTGAGGTATGAACCCTTGCCAAAGTCGCTGTGTTCTTGTGAAAATGCCTATGAGTGATGAGATTTCTAATAAAGTTATGTTTTCTTTTTAAAAAGAAACCCTTGCTGTAATGTTCTTTTGTCCTGGGTCTTAAGGAGGCAACTGAAGTTAACATTGAGGAAAGGAAGGGCTTGAGGGTAGTCTAAGCATGCTATGGTTAGCAGTCACTGGCAAAGCTCTAGCTCAAACCTTCTCACTGCTCAAGGAGTGGGCGATGGTAAATCAAGCACAGAGTGAGCCTTCTGCTCTGGAGCTCAGGCTTGAGGTGTGAAGGATAGATGAGGGTCAGCAGGAGCTCAGACTTGACTAAAGTACCCCTAGCTTGCTTTGCCAATGAGTCACTGTCAGTGTTGTAGGATACCTACGAATGAGACACTGAACAGAGGTGGTGTTTCCTCTTGATGGACACAAGGTTGTGCAGCAGCTGTTAAATTCTGGGTCATGGCCTGCATCCCAGACTCCTTTTTTTTCCTCTGGAGCAGCAATACCTGCTGCATTTCACTCTAGAAGTGACAGTCTCAGAAGGCTTGGTTACAAGGTGATTTATTTACAGTATCTTTGGAGATGCAATTGAAAGCATGAGAGGCATCGGCACCTTTTTCTTATCAGGAAACTGGCATCCTAAGCCACTGCTGAGTGGCCGTTGCTAGATGTGAATGTGCTGCTGCTGGGCTGGGACCCTGGCTCTAGCAGGAGGGAATTAGGATGGGATTTGGGCTCTAGCAGGAGCGGTTGTCCCTCAGGAGAGGGACAGTAACCCAGTGCACCCAGCTTGCTCCAATGCAAAACAGAACTGGTGGTGGTGAACTCTGAGATCTGAAGCAGAGCAAATGCTCTCATGGTCATCTTCCATGTCTCATGTAGGGCACAGTGTTAGTGTTCAGCCTTTTAATGCGATGCCAGAAAAGCATCCTTGGTATCCCATGGGATTTCTTTCTCCTTTGCTAATGCTTGAGACAATGCAATTTTTTAATGTTTACTATAGCTGCCTGATTTTTATGGGTAAAAATAAAAAGTGACCAGCAGTCTTGACGTAGCTCAGCCTTTAACTGAGAGACTATTGGACTCCAGCTATATACATATTCCCAGTTTATTTTTGGACAAGGAGTTTCCAAGTGATGATCTCTACCCTCTGTGTTGCAAACTCTTGTTTAGAACAGGTGTGGAAATAAGATGAGCAAATAACTTATTGATATGCAAGGGCATATCTATACTACAAAGGGTGGCAGTGTGCAAATAACTGTTACAAGAGGTTCCTGTCCCTAGCTGTTTTGCTGAATGCTATTTATCTGCAGGCAAAATGTGGTGGTGCAACTCAGCCTGCCTATTTAAATGGCTGACTCTGCACAAAGCAAACAAGAAAATCGGTGTATAAGCTGCACCTCACTTCTGGTACAATCCACTGGGAGATGATTTAACTCCTCACTTTGCATTTTGCTATATGCAAATTCTGCATGTTGTATGATCTAGAACAAATTAAAAGCTTCCATATTCTACCTCAGGGGTTTAATGGTCCTTGCTTTTAGGAGTGAGTGCTATTCTGCTGTGACTGTCTCTGTTCTTGCCCGTTCAATTTCTGTACCACAACTCAACATTAGCCCTGTAGCTTTCAGTCTACTATCAATGCTGTTCTTTTTCTGAAACCAAATGTTAGAACAGATTCATCTTATTTGTTTTTTTCTGAAACCAAATGTTAGAACAGATTCATCTTATTTGTTTTTGAAGTTATTGGAGTTGGCGTGATGCCTAGTCCAGCAAAGGTGTGGGAAAGCAAAATGAGACCTAAGATTCCTCAGAGAAGCAAATGCACTATTGAGGTAGCTGAGGATGGGGTGTTGAAATGGCTGAGGAGCATCTTGTAGCAATAGGAACCTGGCCTGGCCTGAACTGGAAGGGTGAGATAGACAGATACCAGTTAAAAACAGCATGGTTTCATGTGCTGTGAGAAGCAGCACAAGCCACTCCCAACAGCTGTATTTCAAAAGCCAAAACTTGATGGGAGAAAAATAGTAGGTCTGGGTGTGAGAGGTAGCTTTGACTGTAACTTAAAGGAATATGGGGCTGGTTGGAGGAAGATTTTTGTGAGCTACTTGAGGGGCCTTGTTTTGCTGCTCTGTGGAGGGAGGGGGCTGTATTTTGCTGCTTGACTGTGTGCGGCCACAAGTCAGCAGGGTTTCTAAGTGCTGCGGAAGCATAGGCTGAGAGGGTACGCTTGGGGCAGGGCCGTGCCCTCCCCTAGCCTGCTGAAGCTCGTCCTCTCTGCCATGCCGGGATGGTAGGCCCTGCAGAGTATGTTACCTTCAAGCTCGTGCTACC